CCCCGCTCCTCCCACCATCATTTTGCTCAGACCCCACCACCTCTCTGGCCTTTTAAAAACAATTTTTTAAAACTGTTTTGAGTAACTAAGACCATGGGGTTAAAGATATAATGCCCCATGTGCTCTATCACAAATCGTATGATTATTCGGAGTAGTTATCAAGATACTCTAAGAATTGATTTCGAGCAAGCTTGATGTGTTGTAAAACTCCAAATCTTTGACGTCAAAGTTCTCACAACTAGGTACTGGGCAGATACAACTTTGTAATTCTTGGGTAGCGAAATATTCCTGACCACCGCCCGCTCCCCGTCCCATCGGAGGAAGGTGTTTGCCTTGCCAAGTGGTTCCAGCAAATGTTTAAAAAAAACCACATCTAGATTTATATGTCATATAGGTGTTTTTTAAAGCTTTTAAGCACCCATGGACATAAATAAGAGTATTCAGGAGACAGGCTTCCTGCCTTGTCGTCAGGGCTAAATCGGGCTGATGTCACCACAACACAGCAGTAAACACCAGGATACTTTGTATGATCAAAGATCGTACCTAAAAAGATTGTTCACTCAGCCAAAAAGGTATCTGCGGAAGTCCGTGCATTGCTTCAGATGGCGTTGTAGTCTCTGTTTTGAAGCTCTCTTTCGTTTCTCCAGAAGAAGAATAAGAATAGTACAACTTATTAGTTTCAATTTTATTGTTTTTCACACAAGTAGGGTCTTTCTGTTCGTAAAACGGACGCTTTTTCGAAGAAGGCGCCATCTGATTTTGAGGACACTTTTTTAATCGGCTCAAAAAGAGGAGTCAACTATCTTCTATGTACGATCTTTGGTAAGATTTCTCCTAATCTGGAAATCGAACTCGTGTCTTCTGCGCGCGACAGCGAAGCGCCTACCCGTTACAACACCTACGCTGTTTAGCGAAAACTGGTGATTGAAATAAAAGATCGTGAGAAATTTATGTGCACCGAACTTTTGAAACAGTCTGAATAAAAAAGAACCACTTTGCCTGCAATGTTAAAAGCAATTTTGCATTGACTAAATTCTAGCCAAACCTAGTTTTCATCTGAAAAGCTGTCGGTCGTTACACTCTCAGTGCTTAACTGGGTATATTTCCCTTTTCAGTGTATATCTACCTGTATCAACCAACAATAAATATTTGGTATTCTACAACCTTGGTCCGAAATGTTATGAGCAACTTTGTATTAATGAGACTCTGGCTTAGCCTAGTTGTAATCTAAGAAACTGGAAACATCAGAATTTATTCATAATTAAACTGTCATAATATGTAAGCTGTTCCGTCAGTGTTCGACATAGCATGTTTCATTTTTGAAAAAAAGTGTACGTCTAGCTGTAACAACCAACGCAACGTTTGTTGTACAGCTTTTGTCTTTTATGTTACAAGCAGCAGCTTCGTATTGACTAGATTTTGCCAAGCCTAGGATCTGAGAAACTGGAAACAGCAGAATTCCACTTCTCCTCCCTCTACCCTCGTGAATCAATCCGCCTGGTGTATAGAGGTCTATAGTAAGGGTTTTGGTTATCTCTGTTCATTCCTCAATTTGGGCAATGATTTTTTTTAAAACTGCAAATTTAATGCCGTATTCTATGGTTTGGTCTGGTTTGGGAAACACTATATGTAAGGGAAATTTGAGGAAGAATAGGGCAGATAGCGGTTCCCACACCTAGGTAGATTGAAGGAAAGGGGGACCTAAAGAGGAGAAGGGAAACACAGCAATCTCTGGTAACCAGTCCGACGGATCTCCAACCAGATTATGATTGGGACAATGAGCAGACAGACTCTGTGATGGATCCTGAAGAGGGCGGAGAGCAGAGATGGACATGTTCCGACTGTAGTGACCCCAACACTGTGGACCAGATATGACAAGGTATATAGGTGACACGCTGTTGTCTATGCAGTGAAGTACACCCCTCACTCTCTCCTCATAATTGTTGTAGTCTAAGGCAAAGGCGAGAATCAGTACGGCTTGGCATCACGGATGCTGCAAGACCTTGAGAAATTTGCTGTAAAAAAATTTTGATTTTCACAACACGACAAGCTTTTTCGAATTCAATTCTTTGAATATCCGACCACGACTCCGAAAGATCTTACGATTTTTATAGAGCAGATGGAAGTTGTTTCTGACCTCATGGTCACAGTAATTCAAAACAGCCAAAAATTTCATAAAGAACTTCGTAATTCTAAGGTAGCGAAGGGTTTCTATAGAGCTAAATTTATTTTTCAATCCCGGGCTACTTTAGAGACTC